CTTTGTATGTAATACTTTGTAAAGTACAACACAATGCAATTTTGAAAAGAAAGAATGTATTGAGTGTACACCTGCATTTCATTAATTCCCTCTTCACATCTCTCTTTCTCTTAGAGCGCCATGGCTGATATTGGACCACCTGTTCGATTGCTGATCATCTTGAACGACCACAACAGCGTCAGACTGGAGCTTCGAAATGGGATTCCCAACTCAATGGAAGAGCTCGTTGAGGAGGTCAAGAATTCATGTGGATTAGAAGGTTACATAAGCAGTGCATGACATTAAGGATTTTGGGAGATGGCCCTGTGGGCCATCTAAGCTAATTTACAGATGGCCCTGAGCCCAATAGAGATTGCCCAGAAAAATGCGCGCGGACGAAATGACGCACGAAGGGTTTGGGGGGCCTCCCCCTAGAACATTTAGATTTTTGCAGGTCTTGGATGCTGTCTGGTGCATTCTATAGACTGAATTATAAGATGAACCACCACAATATTACAATTTCAATTGTATTCTTCATTTCACTTGTTTGTGTTTGCTCGCTTGCATGCCCTGCATAGCTATAATAAATACTTAAGTTGTTGGTCAAGACACTTTCCATCTGATGAAGGCAAATGCCTTCCAAGATGTAAAAAAGTAGAAAACATTACATGCAGTTATAACTGCCAAAACAAACATTATTTACGCTATTATGGCCCCTGTTAAAAATGTTTGTAATGTTATCTACTGTAAGTTGGTCGAAGGAATGCCTCCTCATCCAGAAGCTGACCGAGCCGACCCGAGCAGCCGAGTGCTTCCGCGAAGCACACACAATGGCGACGTCAGAGTTCCCGTTAGCAAGCAAATCTAAATCTCTTCGGTCAAAATCTCTTCGGTCAAAAATAATTTCCCTTTAGCGCAATACCGCTTCAGTAGCGCCACTTATGTGACAGACAAGAAGAGTATGTGACAGACAAGAATAGTCAATTCTAATGTCTAACACTTAATGTGGAGAAAGAGATGTCCTGTATGGGTTGATTGTGCGTTGATCTGCTGGTAATGCCTCGGGGTTCCGGTGTGCATGTAAACAAATGCATAATGCTGCGCTATACTTTGTGGCCTCACCCAGTTGCATAGCGACGCTTATTGTTTAGGTGTCTTTTAATAAGCAGGTAGTCCTATCATTAGCTAGAACTAGCTAGATCTGATCAATATGGACATAAACGCGAGTGAAGTCTAAACTGGCGGGAGAGAGAGATCAGCTGCTGCTGACGAGTCAACACGCAGCTCCGCATGATCACATGCAGCAGTGACAAAAACACACACTTCAGGTTAGAATATCACACTTAGCAATTTTAATTACCTTTCAAACTACCTAAACTAGTTATAGATATGTTTAGTTTTGCTGTCGGGTCACTCATTACTGGATCCGCGAGCTGCATGATACTGGCATAATAGAGTGCCCGATCGGGCAACCAGCAGGTGAGGCTTCATTGCCCGAGCTAAATACTAGATGGCCCCGGGCCATCGGGCAGTCCTTAATGTCGAGCCCTGAATAGTATAATATCATAGCCCGTTTGCCCAAGGTGAGATGACGAGGCTTCATTACAAATAAACCTCTTTTTAGTGAATTACTGAGTTTGGGAAAGTTAATACAGTTTTAATGAAGTTGACTACAGTATATTCATATTTGTCAGTGCTTTCATGTCAATTTGGCGAACATAAACATAAATGATCGTGAAGATGATGATTAAATTAGGATTAGGAGCCGTGAGCACTGCATTTCCTCCCGTCGGATGTGATATAAAAACAAACGATTATTTTTGTAGTTGTAAACTCACGTGGATTAAACCACATTTATTAGTGCTTTCATGTCAATTTGGCGAAAATATGATACATTAAATGATCGTGAGGGTGATGATTAAAAAAATCGTTTGTTTGAGCCGGTCTGCATTTCCTGATGAAAAAACAAACCGATGGTTTTGTGTTGTATGCCAACGTGGATTAAACAACATTATTTTGCTAAATAAAAACTTGGTGATGTTTTGTAAATGATTACATGTCTCTTATTTAGCACAGAATATGATCCTATCCATGACATATGGATCTTAACAAAGGAAAGAGGTATGGCTGATATATAGTGTGTTTACTATGAAAGTGTGGAAACGCAAACACTTTTCTTTTTTTTTTTTTTAAATGTATTCAGCTTGTGAAGGAGAACTTAATAAAAAAAGGAATAGTATGTGGGTTAACATTATACAATATAAACAATATTGATATATATATGTGTACCTGTTGAGTGCCTCATATGCATCATAGAGTTTATATCAGCTGGACTGACAGCGATGGGCATGTTGGCTTCATCTGGAATATGCTGGAACAGCTCTTTGGAGCCTGGCTCCATGCAGGTCATGTAAGGGACGGCATGTCTGCTGTCCATGTAGTACATTATGTAGAAGTTGCACATTTCATCAGCAGAGGTAGCCCTGCACACAAAACAGAAAAGTAGATTTAAAGGTTTAATGTCATATCATATACACAACTACAGTGTAGTAATCAATGAAACATGTGGCTCCCAGGTTCCGCAACAATGTAATTACAAGACATGAAAATAAAAAAATAAATAACAACAATAAAAAATAGTGCAGGATGGCCAATCAAGTAAAGACATTCCTGGTAGATGACGATGTAAAGAGTTATAAAGTCTTGTCTATTGTATTATAAACCCCTGTGTAGTGTGTATGTGTCAGATAAGGCCTTATCACTACAACTGGCCTTACTGGATCATATTTCATCAGCTCATGATAAATTAATCAACAAACACAACAAAGTAGATCCTTTTTTTTACAGCGTTGCTTTTAACCTGAATGTGGGTTTGTACTGTGTACGCCCCCTTACCCCCTTAAAGTACAAATGTGTGGGGTAATAATTAGGTGCATTATGTTATAAAACAAACTCACCCAATATATGTTTTGGAGGTTCTGCCTTCCCCAGTAAACACACATCTGCCTGCAATGGTGTCACCATACTTCACACTAATATCCTTGTTAGCAGGATAGAAAGCCTGCAGAGAAAACACATCACTGATGAGCAATGAACAAACAGCACTCTGAAGCCTGATATGATCAATATATTCCTTGTTGAATTCTGATATAATATTTAGTGGTGCACGATAATTATCCGGCCTGATATTAGGAATTATGACGTCATCCCGATAAACCTGATACAAGTATTAATAGCCCCGATAATATACAATATATTTTTTGGGTAAAAAAAAAAGAAAAAAATACTGCGGTGTGGGTGGATTGGGATGAGGGGCGCTTGTTTTTCACTCGGCTCCTCCCGTTTTGCCAGTACTGTGGTATTAGTGGTTTAGGAAGAGGGGAGTTTTTCACAAATCCAGCATTCCCTAACTCATGCCCGGCTGTGACGTAAATGGTGTGCGGCCGTGAAGCCAGGACAGTAAACAAACATGTCGTCGGTAGTATGGGACTATTTCAAAGTTTCAGAGTTAGATAGTTCGCTTGCTATTTGTATTAACAAATACAATGCAGAAGTTCCACGAGGAGGGAAAAAGGCAACGAGCTATAATACTTCCAACCTGATTAGTCACCTGAAACATCGGCATCGCTACGATGGTGTGTTAAAAGCGTACGAAGACGCCTGCGCTGCTAAACTAGCGGCGAATCCAAAGCCAGCTGCAAAGGCACCGGGGCTTCTTATTTGGGAAAATAAATATGGACACTTTGAAGAGTCAAAACTGTTCTTGGCTTTGTTTTGTTCAAAGTAGTAATGCTCATGTCATTTGCTCACTACTAGTCTTTTTTTTACCACCAGGTG